ATTCATTTTCGATTATCTTATATTACAGAAGATCAGCTTAGTATACATCAAGTATGGATTTCAACAGTTTGCTCCCACACAGAAACATAAAGTGAAAAATAATAGATGATTTTTTTTTTAAAATGATGATGAAATCAGAGCAGACCTATTGTCATGTTTAATCCCAGTGAGAGTCAAGTTGGGAATTGATAATTTCTTTTTTTTTTTTTTTTTACAGAGGATCAGTTTAGTATGCATTAAGTAAGGATTTCAACAGTTTGCACCCCCATAGAAACAGAAAGTGAAATATATTGTTTGAGTACTCGTTATAGCATTAAATCTCAATGTACAGCACATTAAGGATAGAGATCCTACATGAGGAGTAAGTGCACAGTGACTCCTGTTGTTGACTTTACCAATTGACACTCCTGTCTATGGCATCAGTAATCTCCCTCTGCTCCAGTCATGAGTTTCCAAGGCTATGGAAGCCCTCTGAGTTCTCCGACTCTTATCTTGTTTAGACAAGGTCATAGTCAAAGTGGAGGTTCTCTCCTCCCTTCAGAGAAAGGTACCTCCTTCTTTGATGACCTGTTCTTTCCACTGGGATCTCACTCGCAGAGATCTTTTGCCAGAGTGTCTTGGCTTTCCATCTAAAATCTGTCTATACCCTGTTCCTCCAAGCATCTAGTAATTACTATTCTGTGTTCAAACTGAGCTTTTTAAAAAATCTTCCAAATACGAAGGAGAATTATGTGGAGTAATGTTCCATTGTGGATATATATCACACTTTCTTCATCCACTTATCTGTTGATGATGGATGCCTTGGTTTTCTCCATACTTTGCCTATTATGAATAGTGCTGAAATGAATGTGATGTGTTATGACAAATGCTATAAGAATTTCAGTATTTTTAGATCAAAATAAACATCTTTTTAAAAAGTATATATGCTTTTGAAAGAGTTGCACAGAGAGAGAGAGAGAGAAACAGCGAGAGAGAAGGTTCTTCCATCTGCTGTTTTACACCCCAAATGGCTACAATGGCCAGGGCTGGGCCAGGTTGAGGCCATGAGCCTGGAACTCCCTCTGGGTGTCCCATGTGGACATCACAGGCCCAAACACGTGGCCCACCTTATGCTGCTTTCTCTTGTGCATTAGCAGGGAGATGGTTCATAAGAGCAGCAGCTGGGACTTGAGCTGGAGTCCACATGAGATGCTGGTGTTCCAGGCTGTAACTTAACCCACTGTGCCACAATACTGGCCCGCAAGTTTTACCTTTTACTTCCACTTTTCCACAAACTTTCTGCAGTATTCTCATACATTAAAAAAAAGTTTCTCATGTGAAATAGAAATGGCATGTTAGGGTAATTCCTTAATATTCATCACTTCTGAATTTTAAGTACATATTCTATCTAATACTGGAAAAAATACCAAGTCCAAACTTGGTAAATATCAGTATTACTATGATATAAAAACATTCTCTATTTAACTGTATTCATGAATCCACAGTATGACAAACCAAAGTTTTGGCAAGTGCTTTCATTCAAACATAGAAAAAGGCTGACTTGAAGCATGAGATGAAAATTTACATCCTTTTTTTATTTTTGTTTCCATGTTTTCTCTTCAACCTTTTCTTTGCTAATCTGGGCAGAAATGCTTTGGACAAAAGAACCTGACTGATAGCAAGTCAGCTTGCATCAATTTTCATAGAACATTTTTTTCAATCCATAAGAATAGATATACTTATTTTCTTGGAGAAATCTCTTATGTGTCTTGATTTTCCAACCTCAGCCACTAACACAAAAAAAGCAAATTAGGTATCAGCCTTACCAAGAGTGTTAGGAAAGCACAGATTAACTATTGATTAGCATCATAATAAACTTTGCTGTAAGGGTTTTACAGTTAAATATGGATGCTTGCATGGCCTGACACTGGTTTTATTTACTAGACATAATTTATCCCACTACATCTGGGTAGCAAATTACTATATAATGAAACATGTTTGGCCATCACTAGAGAGGCTTTGAATTATTTAGCAACAGATGCTAAGACAAAGCTTGAGGTGTGAGGTGTTTAATGGAATGCAACACCATGAAAGGTAGAGCAAAGACACATGATTGGCTGGTGCAGAAAGGTGAAGTGTTACACGCACGATATTATCCTGCAGAGGGGAGCCAGAGATCTTACATTAGTTCTCTCTCAGTAGGGATCTAAAATGTTTGCCTCCTGTAATTCCCCTGGAGACCTGGAGACTGTTCAGCCTCAGACCAGCAAACCTACACTGTTGAAGATCTTTTAGGGACGGGCAGCTCTATCTCCTAGGACTCATTCTTTACACTTCTGCTCCTCATTAAGCCGCAGGAATTATTCATTTTTCCTTAACAACGCTTGAGGAAACAAATCCAGGCACCAAGAACACTTGACTTCACATTCTTTTTCAATCTTGTAGCAGGTTATGCTTTGTCATGGACAAAATGCAGTCACCTTGTGTCTGAGTTCACGTCTATCTCCCACCACACGCTGTACATTTTTTCATTAGCCTGACTATGGTGAACTAAAAGCGTTTTTCTTCTTCCCATCTGGGACAGTTTTGCTCCCAAGGGACACTTGTCTGAAGGTATATATGCTCACTACACCAAGGGCAGTTGTGGTTCTACTGGGTCAGTTAGGGATGCTGCTAAATATTATGAACAATGATGTATAAATTTCATCTTAATTTTATAATGAACAATTCTCACAATAAGAAATTTCCAGTCAAAATATAAAAAATGCAGAACTTTAGGAGTTCAAAGAAATATATAAATTTAATTGTACTGCAAATATAACTCCTTCTCCTTATACACAAACTGTAGATTTTTTAAGTGACTTTGAGTTGTACCTTGGCAAACAGACAAGTCTCACCCTCCCCTATTGGACAGGCAGAAAGAAGTCACTTCACTTAACAGGTTTTTAATAAGAAACCCAAACCTCAACTATTCCTACTATTTCTATTTTACCTGGTCCTGGTTTACTTTGTGGAAGAATAAAGCTGGAAATTAAAGTGTGCTCATTAATTGTTTCTGTCTTTCAATGAAATTTGTTGCTCCTTTGCCACTGGATGCACCGAGGATTCTCTATCCAAAGCTCTTTTTTTATTTTATTTTTATTATTATTATTATTATTTGACAGGCAGAGTGGACAGTGAGAGAGAGAGACAGAGAGAAAGGTCTTCCTTTTTCCTTTGGTTCACCCTCCAATGGCCGCCGCGGCTGGCGCGCTGCGGCCAGCACACCGCACTGATCCTATGGCAGGAGCCAGGTACTTATCCTGGTCTCCCATGGGGTGCAGGGCCCAAGGATTTGGGCCATCCTCCACTGCACTCCCTGGCCACAGCAGAGAGCTGGCCTGGAAGAGGGGCAACCAGGACAGAATCCGGCGCCCCGACCAGACTAGAACCCGGTGTGCCGGCGCCGCTAGGTGGAGGATTAGCCTAGTGAGCTGCGGCGCCAGCCTATCCAAAGCTCTTGTACTGGCCAGCCCTGCAGCTCACTTGGCTAATCCTCTGCCTGCGGCACCAGTACTCTGGGTTTTAGTCCCTGTTGGGGCGCCGGATTCTGTCCCAGTTGCTCCTCTTCCAGTCCAGCTCTCTGCTGTGGCCTGGGGGGGGGGGGGGTGGCAGAGGATGGCCCAGGTGCTTGGGCCCTGCACCTTCATGGGAGACCAGGAGGAAGCACCTGGCTCCAGGCTTCGGATTGGCGCAGCACGCCGGCTGTAGCAGCCATTTGGGGGGTGAACCAACAGAAAGAAAAACTTTCTCTCTCTCTCCCTCTCACTGTCTATAACTCTACCTGTCAAATAAATAAAAATAAAAAAAAGGGGGGGCAGGCGCCGCGGCTCACTAGGCTAATCCCCAGCCTGTGGCATGGGCATCTCAGGTTCTAGTCCTGGTTGGGGGCTGGATTCTATCCCGGTTGCTCCTCCAGTCCAGCTCTCTTGCTATGGCGAGGGAAGGCAGTGGAGGATGGCCCAAGTGCTTGGGCCCTGCACCGGAATGGAAGACCAGGAGGAAGCACCTGGCTCCTGGCTTAGGATTGGCGCAGCGTGCCAACCACAGCAGGCCATTTGCAGGGTGAACCAACGGAAGGAAGACCTTTCTCTCTCTCTCTCTCTCTCTCTCTCTCTCTCTCTCTACTGTCTAACTCTGCCTGTCAAAACAAAAACAAAAACAAACAAAACAACAACAACAATAACAAAAAGTGCTTGTACTTTCGTCCCAACTTTGGAGCTCAGAGGAAAATTCTGGAAAACAGGGAAACTATTCATCAGCTTCTGTTACTATGGTATATTACAGTTTACTGGACGTTTTCATGAAATCTTCAAAATATTGTATTTTAGATGCTATTTTGAATATAATATTATGGTTTAAATTGGATAAAGTTAATAAATGGATAAAGTAATTGGATAAATGTCACTATTATCAATATTGCTTCAAATTTTCAATTTTTTTTCAATTTCAAGTACTTCTATATAAATGACATTCATGATTTATTTAGAGCATTTAGCTCCTAGGAGTCTTTCTTTAAAGCACTAGTGTACATTCTTTAATATTTCAATTGCTTCCCCAAAAGTCTTATAAATTGAATTCTCTCCTCAGGCAGCCACATGGTCAAATCAATTTACTGCCAGAGACATGGAATTTTTGAGTGAAAAATAAAATGAGAACATGTATGCCTTCTCCATTCAGTGATCACCTTGAAAGCGGATAGGAAGAATGCCTGATACTCATTTCCAAGCAGTTGCCATGGAAGGTAGAACCCTTTCTTAATGAACCAGTAACACAAAATAATAACTGAAATCATCTTTTTAAAGTGTTTTCAGAATTTAGCATAAGTATAGGATGAACTCATGCTAAATTTCAATGTTGGTTAAAGTTGGAAATGTAAATACAATGCAATGAAACTTAATACTGATTTTATATATATAAGGCAATACATGGCAAAAAGGATTTGATCTTTACAGAATGATCTCATAGACTTTGCTGCAGATAGAATAGAATATCTGCATAATCAGACACATATTTTGAATCTAGCATACAGCACAAAAATTTTAAGAGATTTTTATTTTAGTAAAATGTTTTAGAAGACTTCAAGATTTACAGAAAAATTGTGAATAGTATTCAACATTCCCATCTAACTTATGTGAACTTTTCCCTACTGTTAACACTTAACATTGTTATGGTATATTTGTTATAACTAATGAATCATTATATTATTATGGTACATTAGTTACAATTAATAATGACTAATGTGGAAGTCCATATTTTATTCAGGATTCTTGAATAAATGCTCTAATGCCCTTTATCTAGTGCCACTTAGAATATATTGCTTTTTTTAAAAAAAGATATTATTTATTTATTTGAGAGATAGAGTTACAGACAGTGAAAGGGAGAGAGAGAGGGCTTCCATCCGCTGGTACACTCCCCAAATGCCTGCAATGTCTGGAGCTGTGCTGATCCGAAGCCAGGAGCCAGGAGCTTCTTTCAGATCTCCCACACGGGTGCAGGGGGTGCAGGGGCCCAAGTGTCTGGCCCATCTTCCACTGCTTTCCCAGGCTATAAGAGACAGCTATGTTGGAAGAGTGGCAGCTGGGACTTGAATTGCCACCCAAGTGGGATGCTGATGCGGCAGGCAGAGGATTAACCTACTGAGCTACAGCACTGGCCCCAGAATATATTACATTTATGTCACATCTCTTTAGACTTTGCTTAACTGTGAAAATGTTTAAGGGGACTGTGCTGTAGTACAGCAAAGTAATGCTGCCACCTGCAGGGTCGGCGTCCTACATGGGCACTTGTTTCAGTCCCGGCTGCTCCAATTCCCATCCAGCTCTCTGCTATGGCCTGGGAAAGCAGTAAAAGATGGCCGACGTCTTTGGGCCCCTGCACCCATGAGGGAGACCTGGAAGAAACTCCTGGCTTCTGATTGGCCCAGCTCCAGCCATCATGGCTATTTAGGTAGTGAGCCAGTGGATGGAAGACCTCTCTCTCTTCCCCTCTCTCTGCCTCTGCCTCTCTGTAACTCTGCCTTTCAAACAATAAACAAATATTTAAAAATAATACAGAAAATTTATAAGATACATATCTTTATCTCTGTCTCTACATATATGATCTCATCTGACAGTTTTAAGGAGTCCTGGGCAGATGTTTTGTACATGTCACTCAATTGTCTGATTAGCATGAATTAATGGGAGTAATAGGGCTTGGAGAAGATTACATAGGTAAAGTGCCACCCTAATCATGTGATACAAGGGTACATACTGTCAAGCTGATTTAATCATTTTTGGTATTGTTAATGTAGTGGCTATTTTAGTGCTTGTTACACTCTCTTTTTAACACCCATCACTCTGTGCTCTTAGGAAAACCATGACTATGCAAAGCTACAGTTAAGGACTGGAGAGCTAGACTTCACCAGCTTGATTTAGAATACATATATAAATAATCTGGAATCCTTCCATGTGGAAGATTTGTTTATTTATTTTAGTTATTTTTATTAAATCTTTTGTCATTTATTTTAACAGTATGAACTGATATAAATCTGTCTCTTACCTTGGCTTATAATATAAGATTTCTATATATTGTTGCTACAATTGTTCACATTTTGACAACTTGGAGCTGTTTCAGCTAGCTCTCATGTTCCTTTAATCTCCTCCCACTGTGTGTGTGTGTGTGTGTGTGTGTGTAAGTGCTGTTTTCTGGCACTACAAAATGCTTCATGTTCACTTTATGTGTAGCACAGCATAGGAAAGTTAATTGGTTATTAGAGAAGAGCATTAGAATCCAGTTGTCTGTCACTACTAGAGTGCATTCTGTTAGGTCATTGTAATTGACAAAACAAGAAAATATATGTGTAGCTGGCACTGAGGCACAATAGGCTAATCCTCCGCCTGCGGCGCCAGCACACCGGGTTCTAGTCCTGGTCAGGGTGCTGGATTCCGACCGGTTGCCCCTCTTCCAGGCCATCTCTCTGCTGTGGCCCGGGAGTGCAGTGGAGGATGGCCCAGGTGCTTGGGCCCTGCACCCCATGGGAGACCAGGAAAAGCAACTGGCTCCTGGCTTCAGATCAGCGTGGTGCGCTGGCCGCAGCGGCCATTGGGGGGTGAACCAACGGTAAAGGAAGACTTTTCTGTCTCTCTCTCTCACTGTCCACTCTGCCTGTCAAAAAAAAAAAAAAAAAAAAAAAAAGAAAGAAAGAAAAGAGGCCGGCGCCGCGGCTCACTAGGCTAATCCTCCGCCTAGCGGCACTGGCACACCGGGTTCTAGTCCCGGTCGGGGCGCCAGATTCTGTCCCGGTTGCCCCTCTTCTAGGCCAGCTCTCTGCTGTGGCCAGGGAGCGCAGTGGAGGATGGCCCAGGTGCTTGGGCCCTGCACCCCATGGGAGACCAGGAAAAGCAACTGGCTCCTGGCTCCTGCCATCGGATCAGCGCGGTGTGCTGGCCGCAGTGCGCCAGCTGTGGCGGCCATTGGAGGGTGAACCAACGGCAAAGGAAGACCTTTCTCTCTCTCTCTCTCTCTCACCGTCCACTCTGCCTGTCAAAAAAAATAAAAAAAAAAAAAAAAGAAAAGAAAAAGAAAGAAAAGATACAAAGTATATGTGTATACATTAACACTTGCATATACATACTCAAATATTTCTATTTGTAATAATTTGTATCTATATTAAGCTAAGCATGTTCATAAATATCTCCAAATTTAACCCATTGCCTCATGGATCATTCCAACTGTCTATCCCAACTTGCCTATAACCTCCCAAACATGAGAAATCTGTTATCTTCCTTCTGTCATTCATTTTTTAATTGTTCAATGTCAGTAAATGTGATTGTGGGTATGGAATGATTAGACTCTGACTCACAGAAATTATTTATGCACCTAAGTACCAGGTTCATGCTCAGTCTTTGTGCTCTTGTGTCATTGACTTTACTTACTTTCAAGCATGTTTAGATAAGTGTGTCTTTATCCATCTTCTTCAAGAGCATAGTTTCTTTCATTTGTAAAGCAGTTACATTCTCTTACCACATTCTGCATTTCATTCTGGGATTCTCTATTCTCCAGAGTGATTTTTTGCAATTTGGAAACATTGGGATTTTTAAAAAGGATTTATTATTTATTTGAAAGGTAGAGTTACAGAGAAAGAGACAGAGAGAAAGATGTTCATCCACTGGTTCACTCTCGAAATATCTACAATGGCTAGGACTTGGCGAGGCCCAAGCCAGGCGACAGGAGCCTCCTCCATGTCTCCCACGCGGGTGCAGGAGCCCAAGCACTTGAGCCATCCTCCATTACCTTCCCAGGCCATTAACAGGGAGCGGGAACAGAAGTGGTGCAGCCAGGAATCTAACCTGCGCCCATGTGGGACCCTGGCTGTCACCACAAGTGACAGCTAAACTCTTTATGCTACAATGCTAGCCCCTGCAAATATCAAGATTTAATCTTCATGCTGTAAAGTGATACAAGTTTTGAAAAATATTAAACATAGTAGATCCACCATCATGATATTACCTGTCAGCCTCACCTATTCACTTCCCACAAAGAGAAAACCCTAGAAATCACTAATCTCGTTAGTCTCTGTGCTCTTATTTCTAGAATGCCCGATCGCTGGAATAATAATGTTTATTGCCTTTTCAGACTAACTTCTTCCAGTCAGCAGTATGCATTTATGACCCATTTTGTTATATGACTTGGCGACATTCTTTTTTATTGCTGAACAGAATTTTGTTGTGGGGATGTACTGTCATTAGTTTATCCATTCATTTATTGAAAAGAATCTTAATTGCTTCCAGTTTTTGATGATTATGAACAAAGCTATTATAAACAGTGTAAACATATGTGCAGACAGGGAGGGTGACTGCTGAATGCAGTATGGCAAAATTATTATGTTTAGCGTATTTAGTACCTGATTTGGGTGGGCTATACATGAAAAGTTCAATACCAGATATGAGTGAATATATCTGTCTTTATCTGTCTGTCAAAATGCCAGCATCTTCCACCTATACTACCTACATATGTTTTACTTACCCACATGGTATAATCATCATTTCTTATTAGGATCATCCCAGCAATGTCTTCCTTCATTGAGAAAATACTTCACCTGATGTAAAGGAAATCCTTGGCTTCTCCTTTTTCTTGACTTCATTTTGAATGGTCCCCAACCACAGAATTCTTTTGTATGTTCCCTGTTTAGTGTTCATGTAGTCCTGCCTTTTGAGCTACCTCATTAATGTTTTTTAGTTTGTCCAGTTTCAGCCCAAAGATTCTTTCTAAGCTGCATCAGTGTGAAAACATTCTCATTCTTTCCCATTGTCTCTCTCCCATGCTCTCTCCCATTCTTTCCCTCCCTCCTTTCCTTGCCCTCTCCCTCTCCCTCTCCCTTTCTTCCCCCTCCCCTTCTCCCACACCACTTGCTACAAGGAGGCAGTGAAAACTGGTTGTCTCTGTGCCCCTTCCACTATCTTGTGTCAGCAGATCTCAATAGAAAAGTTGAGCTTATTCCTCCCATACAGAGGCAATTGCAATAATGTGGTATGAATCAGAACTCTGCTTTTACCAAAAACCTGCCTGTGGGACTAAATATAGCTGCCCTTTACCCTCCACCATGCCTAACAGTGCACTGTTTCAGTGTTCCCCTTCTGCCTGGGATGTTGCTAGCAGGTCATAGTTGGGAGATGAACACCCACCCCAAGCTACATATGAATGCCACATATAAGTAAGCTGTCTGCCTACTAAAAATAAAGATTAGGATCCAGAGACTCATAACAAAATTTCTAGGAAACAAAATCAATAATTTTATCAAAAATCAGGAGAAACCCTACTTGAATTGACAGGAAACTGATTGGACAATAATGCTGAAATGGGCCACCTGCAGACATTTGCTAAATCATTTTGAAAGTTTCAATCATTAAAGAAATTACAAACATTCATAAAGCAAAAGAATACGCAGAAATACAGGGTACTTCTAAAATTATCAAAAATGAATTAAAAGATGTTTAATTTTGGTGCAAAAAACACTGAAACCTATTCATAGTTTTTCCATAATTCACACATTTATTTTCCATTAACTCATTTAAGACCTGTTGTGTCTAGAATTTGATTATAGAGCTAAAAATATTACCAAAATGGAAAACCTCACAGGACAACTCAAAAATTGCATACAACAAAGGAAAACATTAGTCAATTTGAAGATAATGGAATAGAAATTATCCAATGAGACAACAGATTAAAAAACAGAGTGAATAAAGAATGTACAAAATCCTCAGGTACCTATGGCATACAAAACAATATATTAAAACCACTGGATTCCCAGAAGAAAAATACATGGTTAAGGGCCTCTCAAAATTGGCAAAAGTTTAAACTTTCCATTTTGGGAACTTGAACAAACCACCAACAAAATAAACCAAAAGAAATCTCTGCCAAGTCACTCCTGTATTAAAATACTGAAAACTAGACATGAAAAAAATATTAAAAATGGTGAAAGAGAAAAGGATTACCTAGAATGGAACACCAATTTGAATGACATCCAACTTCTCATATGTAACCATGGAGGATAGGAGTGACTGACACAACGTTTTGTAAGTGCTCGAAGTAAAAAACTTCATCTTCAAATCTATATCCAGTGAAAACCTCCCTCTGTAGAAATATCCTTCAGGAATGATGGAAAAAGACTTTCTCAGACAAAGGAAAACTAAGTGAATTTGTTGCCAGCAGCCCTAAACTGAAAGAATGGCTAAAGTAAATTTTCTTTCCATATGTCCATCTTTCTTTCAAACAAATAAAAATAGTTGAAAAATAGAGGCCAGTGTTGTGGTGTAATGGGTAAAACTGCTGCCTGTGACACCAGCATTCCATGTGGACACTGGTTTGAATCCCACCTGCTCCACTTCAAATCCAGCTCCCTGCTAATAGCATGGGAAAAAAAGCAGTCAAGGATGGCCCAAGTGCTTGAGCCCCTGTCACCCATGTGTGAGATCTGGTAGAAGTTCCTGGACTTTGGCTTGGCTCAGCCCTGGCCCTTGCATCCAGCTGAGGAGTGAATCAGCAAATGGAAGTCCTCCTTCTTTCTTAACTCTGTCTTTCAAATAAATAAATCTTTAAAAAATATATATAAATTTAAAATTTATACTGATTATTGGTAGTTTCTAGGGAAAGGGATGGGGATAGATGGAAAGATGTCACTGTAAAGGGATAGCATGAGAAAGTCTTGTGTTGTTTCTATATGTTGAGCCACATGCATGATAAAATTGCATAGAACTACGCACATGTGCACACACATATGTAAAACTAATGAAATCTAAATAAGCTCTATGGATGATTTCAATGTTAATTTTCTGTTTTTGAAATTGTACTACAATTCTGTAAGCTGTTACTATTTTGATAATCTGGCAGAAGGGATACCAAGGGACTTCCTTGAATATTAGTTCACAATTCCCTTTGACAATAATTATTTCAAAATAAAAACTAACCACCAGCACAACAACAATGGAAAGATTCAGTTTTACTTTCTTGGACAATATTTTTGAAGACTCCTAGAAGGATTAGAAATTTTAATCCTTAAGAAGGTTATGGAAACAGTGCTCAATAAATAATTCAAGAATAGTACATGACCACCCAACTAAAATGAATCTGAATATAGTATGTTACATACTATGTTTATATATAATCATCCTTATATAATTTCATTTTGCTTCATTAATTTTTCTTTGAAAATTTCTACTACAGAGATTACTTTATGTTGAGGCAACTATACATTTATTAATGTTTCTTTTTTCAGCTTTTTTTCCTGAAATACCAAAACCAGAAGTCAACTTCTTAAGATGAGAGATCACTGTGTCTCCTGTCAGAACAGCTAATAACAAAATGTATGTGGAGGTTTCTTAATATAATTGAATTAAGCATTTTCTATAAGACAAACTATTCATTTTAATGAGTTCTGCCAAACAATTGTCACATAATCCCAAATAATCCATAATTGTGTATATTTAATTTTGATTAGAACATTTGAAAATTAGTTTATCGTTGGTTCATTGATTGTAATTCTTGAACACAGCAGCATGATTATATATATAATAGATCTTTTAAACATTCATTTTATATTATGTGGCAATTGATATTTGGATCATTAAAACTGTCTCTGAGTAGGAAATAGGCTATTTTAAGAATACAAAAACTTCTTACCATTGTTGTTATGTTCAAAATTTTTCAACAGAGTGGCCAGTACTGTGGTGGACAGAGTAAGACATTGCTTGTGATGCTGGCACCCCATATTAGAGTCTGATTTGAATCCTAGCTACCTCCCTTCCAATCCAGCTTCCTCTATTATGCCTGGGAAGGCAGGAGAGGATGGTCTAAATACTTGGACCTCTGTCAACCATGTTGGATACCAGGATGGAGTTCCTTGTCCTGGCTTTAACCTGGCCCAGCCTAGGCTATTATAGCCATTTGGAGAATGAAACAGTGGATGGAAGACCCATTCATTCTCTGTCTCTGTGTATCTCTCTCACTCTGACTCTCTCTCTTTCTCTCTCTGTCTCTCTGTCTCTCTGTCTCTGTCTCTATGCCTTTCAAATAAAAAAAAATACACCCTTTAAATATATATTGACACAATTTTCTAACAGACTAAATACAATCAATCAAATGGATATTTTGTTTAAAGAACTGAACTTCAAAATATTTCAGATTTTTTAATCATGTAGTATTCAATTTGTATTTGGAATAATGTAAATCAGTGCCATATGATCCAACATCCATTTTTTTAAGATTTATTTATTTATTTGAAAGTCAGAGTTACACAGAGAGAGGAGAGACAGAGAGAGAGAAAGAGAGAGGTCTTCCATCAGATGGTTCACTCCCCAATTGGCCACAACGGCTGGAGCTATGCCCATCCGAAGCCAGGAGCCAGGAGCTTCTTCCGGTTTTCCCAAGCAGGTGCAGGGGCCCAAGCACTTGCGCCGTCTTCTACTGCTTTCCCAGGGCATAGCAGAGAGCTGAATAGGAAGTAGAGCAGCCAGGACTAGAACTGGTGCCCACATGGGATGCTCGCGCTTCAGCCCAGGGCGTTAACCTGCTGCGCCACAACTCTGACCACCCAACATCCATTTCTAAAAGAATTGAATCATTATATCACTCCTGTGTTTTATTATTCACAGTAGGTAAAATATGGAATAAATAGATGAATGGGTAAAAGAAAATGTGATATAAATACATAATGAAATATTATCCAGCCATAAAGAAGAGTGAGACAGAATCATTTTAGCAAAAGAGCTGGAGATCATTGAGTGAAATAATCCAGACACAGAAACAAAAATAACTCATGTTTTCCCACACATAAAGATTACCAGAGACTGGAAAAGCTGTGGGAAGGCAGACAAGTGGGAGGTTGGAGAATGGGTATCAAAATGTAGTTTGAGAGAAGGAATAAACTTTATTGTTCAGCAAAGGCCACGAGATGGCTGTAGTTCACAGTAACTTATTAAATATTTTATGAACAGCTAGAAGAGAGGAACTTGAAGACTCTGCAACATACAGTACAATGAGGAAAGGAAGTGTTAGTTACCTTGATTTGATGAGTACCTATTTTACACATTTATTGGAAACTCAGGAAGAGCATTTAGCTTAGTGGTTAGGTTGTTTACATCCTATGTGGGAGTATCGGCTTGATACTTGGCTCTGACTCCTGACTCCAGCTTCCTGCTAATGGAAGTCCTGGGAGACAGTAGTGATAATCATGTGCCTAGGTTTCAGCTACTCATGTAGGGGACCTACACTGAGTTCTTGATTCTTGGCTTTGGCCTAGCCTAGTCCCAGCAACAATTGTAGACATTTGAGGAGTGAACCCATGGATGGAAGAGCTCTCGCTCCTCTATCAGGTATAAATAAATGGAAGTGTATTTATGTGAATGGGAACTATTACTTGATATTTAAAATTTTATACAAGTATTCCTTTTAAAAATATTTATTTGAAAAACAAGAGTGAGTGAATGTGTATATGTGTATGTGTGTGTTTAAGAGAGAGAGAGAGAGATTGATTCCACCCACTGGTTCACTCCCAAATACCTACAGTATTTCAGTCAAGCTGAAGCCGGAAGTTGGAAACTCAATCCAGGTCTCTCACATTGGTGGCAGAGACCCAACTACCTGAGGAATCGCTTGCTGTTTCTTGAAATCAGAAGAGAAGCCAGGACTCAAACCCAGGTACTCTGTCACAGTTGGTAATGTGCACTTAATTGCTTGCACCTATTTCTGAGTATACTTTAAGTGTAAAACTAGGTATGTTTGTAATGGGGAAAAACAACTGCAGAATTAATAAATGATATAGCTTAAATTAGGACAATACAAAGGTACTTAAACGTTTTTGGAAAAATGGAATTAACAGATAAGCTTATTTGGATGCAAAATAGTTTGAAATCATAGCTTTTTCATAATATATACATTTCTTGAACTTCTTGAAGACCTCTTATATGTAATAAATTTTTATGAGATAAATCTTGTATAACCTCTAAACAACTGCAGAAATGGAAAAAAATTATCCTATTGCCCATAATTTAGAATGAGAGAGAGAAATTGAAGATCTTACAACATTCATTCATTCATGAAACATTTATATTCTAATGTATAGCAGGTACTGGGTTAGATGATGAATATTTATAAACAGGATTTCTGTCTCTCACTGTGTAATACACAGCACATAACATGATTACTGAGGATATATATAATATCATGAAAGACACACACAGCTTTCCATACGTTCTCTCTCAACTTCTGCTGTAATTGAGTTTTTAGTCTGCTATTGGCTACAATTTGATTATGCTATGTCATCAACATCTGACTGATAGGACCAATGCATTTCAAAGTCATACTCCATTGTAACATTTATGAGACAAAACAATTCTTGACAAAGCTACTTTGGGTGGGATGCTTGAACATAAATCATTCTCTAAGTCCACCAATGTTGATATGACAGCAGAGATTCAGGCATCGTAGTTGACTTCTCCACGATGGCAGGAATCTGCTACAATCAAACTGCATCTAAGGTGCTGGCTGCTCCCTCACAAGAAATGTGCAATCAGGACAGCATTTGCCTTGGCTTCTGGTATTTAATCAGCAGTGGTGCTAGATCATATTAGGTGTTTCTGTTGTGATCCATCACCATGGCGTACTTGGGGTCAAGCATCCAGGAACCAGGGTATTTGATGTTCACAGAATATATATGAAGGGACTTCAAAAAAATTTGTGAAAAAAATGCAGTTAAAAGCAAGTTTATGTGGTTTAAAAACTTTGAAATCTGTGCATTTTTTTGTAATATACATTTTCTTTAAATTCTTTGAAGGTACCTCTATCCATGTTTTAAAAAAGTTTTTTTAGCAAAAGAAACCTGCCTTTTAATTCTGTTGCAACAAACTTTTTCTAGTACCCTCATGTATTTGCATGTGTGTCGGTATGTATAATCCAACTTCTCACACTTTAGCAAGCTTTCCAATAGAAACAAAAATCATAATTCCTTAAAAGTAGGCATTCACAAGTTAGAAAATACAAGGTAAGTAATTTTCTGCTATAATTTCCAGACAGAATATTGCTGTGTAGACATCTTGATTTTAGCTCAGTGAGATGTGTGACTTCATGAATAATAATTAATTGTAGGTTTGTATTGTTTTAACCCATAAAGTTCGCGTTAATTGGGTATAGAAATTATGGAAGATTCATATAATCTGGAAGGCCTACTGGGGACTAGAATAGGAACTTTTGCAGTTTATTGTCAGTCAGAAGTATAAGAAGGTTCCATTGCAAGCACCTGATTATCAAGTTTCAGATAATGTAAAAATGCAGGAGAAAATTTTATATAGGGATTTAGAAATGATTTGAAGGGAATTTGACACTGTAAAGAGGGAACAAGAAGAAAGTTGATGTCAGTATGAGAAATAGTGATGGGCTCCGTCAATGAAATGAGCATATGACAGTAAATGGGTAGCATTGGCATTGGACTGTTTCAACCATAGTTTCAATTTTTGGTTTCTATTTTTAAAAATTTGCACTGCACTTGGACCAAATGTTTCTCAAAATCATAGCTGGAGTTATTGTATATTCATCAAATATTTCATATTTTATTTTCTCTTTTCAAAAAAGATTTATTTCTTTCAAAGGCAGAGTGACAGGGTGAGACAGAGGCAGAGATCTTCCATCTGCTGGTTTATTCTTCAAATAGCCACAACTGCCTGAGCAGAGCCAGGCAGAAATCAGGAGCCAGGAACTCAGTCTGGGTCCCCACAGAGATGGCAAGGCCCCAAGTATTTGAGCTGTCTCCCATTGCTTTCCCGAGGTGCATTAGCAGGTATCTGGATTGGAAGCGGATCAGGACTTAAGCTGTTCCAATATGGATGCTGATGTCACAAGCTGTGGCTTAGCCTGCTGCACAACAATAGAGGCCCCTGGGAGAAAATTTTTAAAAATAGAAAATAAAATTACTGGAGAGAATAAAAACGATATGCATAAATTTGACTTTATTTTTAATGATAGGAAACAGCACCAGGAAACAATTTTTTAATGTTTATTTAGTTTCATGTAGTTGAAAGGCAGAATGCCAAAGAGAAAGACTGGGAAATAACTTAGATTCACTGGTTCATTCCCCAAATCCCTGAGACACCCAGTTGTGGACCAGGCTGAAGTCATGAGCCTGTTAATTCTAAATCTCCCATGTGGGTGGCAAGAGCCCAAGCTCTTTAGCCATTTGCTTCTGCCTCCCAGGATGCCTCAGCAGGAAGCTGAATCAGAAAAGTAGGAGCTGGGGTCAGCGCTGTGGCATGGTGGGTAAAGCTGCTGCATACAGTGCCAGCATCCCATATGGGCACCAGTTTGAGTCCTAGCATCTCCACTTCCTATCCAGTTCTTTGTGATGGCCTGGGAAAGTGGAATATGGTCCAAGTACTTGGACTTCTGCACCAATGTGGGAGACCCAGAGGAAGCTCCTGGCTTTGGATTGGCACAGCTCTGGCCTTTGATGCCAATTGGGGAGTGAACCAGCGGATAGAAGACCCTCCCCCTTTCTGCCTCTCCTTCTCTCTCTGTGTATCTCTGACTTTCAAATAAATAAATCTTAAAAAAAGCAGTAGCCAGGACTCAAACCATCACTGAGATATGGTGTATGGTCTCCCAAGCAGAACCTTAACATGGTTAAGGCACATGGCACATCCCCAGATAATGTTTTATACATCCACATCAATCATATCAAAGAAATGAATAATATAACACTCCAGAAAACTTAATTAGATCAAATTTGTCATTATCCTTAACTAATAATGTTATTATCACTTCCATCATTAATCTTATTTTACAAAGTCATACAAAATTATCAATATATTTTCTTTTTAAATTTATTTATTTACTTATTTATCTCAGATATAGAGACAGGCAGAGCTCCCATCCTCTAATTTAGAACTCAAATGTCCATAATATTGGGACTGGGCCAGAGTGCATTTGGGACAGAAGAACTCAATCCTTAGCATTTTTTCAAATATCTGTTAGCTATTTGAATTTCCTCTTGAAAAATGTCCTAATCAAGTCCTTTTCCCATTACTTAACTGGATTGGTTTTTTTGTTGAGTTTTTTTTTAACTCTTTATATATTTTGAATATTAATCCTTTATCACTTGCATAGTTTGCAAGTATTTCTCCCCATTCTGTTGGTTGCCTCTTCATTTTGCTGATATTTCCCTTGCAGTACAGAAGATTATTAGCTTGATGTAATCCCATTTGTCAATTTTGGCTTTGATTGCCTTGCTTCTGGAGTCTTTTCTAAGAAGTCTTTACTTATGCCAGTGTCTTGCAGGGTTTCCCCAATGACCTCTAATAATTTAATTATATTGGGTCATAGATTTAGGTCTTTGATTCATTTTGAGTAGTTTTTTGTGTAAGGTGTAAGATAGGGCTCTTTATTCATACTTCTGCATGTGGAGATCCAGTATTCCCAGCACCAGCTGTTGAAGAATCTGTCCTTCCTCAGGAATGTATTTTGGCTCCTTTGTGAAAGATAAGTTGGTTATAGATACATAGATCGATTTCTGGAGTTTCTGTTCCATTACATTTATCTCTGTTTTTTTTGTTGTTGTTGTTTTTGTTATTGTTGTGCCAATGGAGTATCAATTATTTATTTATTGAAAAAAACTCAATTTCACTGATATTTTTGTATTGCCTTTTTAAAATTTTGTTTATTTCTTAAATTTTAATTTTTCATTTCTCCTACTAAATTTGGTTTTGGTTTGTTGTTGTTTTTCTAGATCCTTCAGATACATTGATAGGTCATTTGGTGCCTTCCAGTTTCTTCATGTAGAAACCAATGATATAAACTTTCCTCTTAACACTACTTTTGCTTTGTCCCATGAGTTTTGATATATTGTATTGTTTTCTTAATTCATTACCAGAAATCTTATGATTTCTCTTTTGTTTTCTTCTATGACACACTTTTCATTCAGGAACACATTGCTCAGTCTCCATGTGTTTGTATATGATTTGAAGCCTCTGGAGTTGTTAATTTCCAGCTTCATTCCATTGTAGTCAGAGATGGCCTAGCATGTGGTCTATACTAGAGAAAGTTCCATGCACTGGTGACATGAACATGTATTCTACAACTAACTGTAGGATGAAAAGTTCTGTAGATACTAGTTAGGTTCATTTTGTCCTTACTGTCAATTAATTCTGGTTTTTCTTTGTTGACTTTTCTGTCTAGTTGATCTTTCCATTGCTGGAGGTAGGGTGTTGAAGTATCCAATTACTGTTGTATTTGAGTCCACGCCTCCCTTTAGATTCACTTACATTTCTTTTAAATAGCCAGATGCCCTGTAATTGGGTGCATATGTTTATAAAAGTCACATCTTCCGGAACAGGGCCGTGGCTCACTTGGTTAATCCTCTGCCTGCGGCACAGGCATCCCATATGGGCGCCAGGTTCTAGTCCTGGGTGCTCTTCTTCCAGTCCAGCTCTCTGCTGTGGCTCAGGTGGGTAGTGGAGGATGCCCCAAGTGTTTCGGCCCCTGCACCCACATGAGAGACCGGGAGGAGGCACCTGGCTCCTGGCTTCAGATCAGCATAGCTCTGGCCATAGCAGCCATTTGTGGGGTGAACCAATGGAAGGAAGACCTTTGTGTCTGTCTCTCTCTCTCACTGTCTAACTCTATCTGTCAAATAAATAAAAATAAAAATAAAAAGTCACATCTTCGTGTTGCATTGATTCCTTAATCATTACATAGTGCCCTTCTTTGTCCCTTAGCATTTTTTGTGTTACAGTCTATTTTGTCTGATATCAGGATGGCTACACCTGCTCTTTTTGGTTTCTTTTAGCATGGAATAGACTTTTCCATCCTTTCCCTTGCAGTCTTCAGGTTTCTTTGTTGATGATATGTGTTTCTTGTAGGCAGCAAATAGATGGGTTTTGGTTTTTAATCCATTTGACCACCTTGGATCTTTTAACAGGAGAGTTGAAGCCATTTAAATTTAAGATTACTATTGATAAGTAATGACTTGGCCCTGCCATTTCTTCATACATTTCCTATTTACTTTGTATTTCCATTGTACTTTTACTGGGAGATTTTCTGCCTTCAGATTCTCTCATAAAGATGACAGTTTCTGAGTGAAGCACAACTTTAAGCATCTTTTCTAAGGCTGAATGAGTGGTGACAAATTCTTTCAGTTTCTGTTTGTTATGGAAGGTCTTTATTTCACCTTCACTCATAAATGAGAGCTTACAGGATACAGTATTCTGGGTGGACAGTTTTTCTTTTTTATTAATGCTTTGACTGTGCCCCTTCCTTCTCTCCTAGTCTGTGGGGTTTCTGATGTGAAGTCAGCTGTGAGTCTAATTGGAGGTCCTCTGAAAATAATTTGGCATTTATCTTGTGCACATTTTTGCATCTTTTCTTTATGTTTTACTGTTGAAAATTTGACTACAATGTGTTAATGTGAAGATATTTTCTGGTCATGTTTATTAAGGGTTCTATGTATTTCCTCTATTTGGAAGTCCCTTTCTTTCTCCAAATTGAGTAAGTTTTCTGTAATTATTTCACTAAATAGTTCTTGTATTCTGTTCTTTCTTTCTATGCCTTTAGAAACTCCTATGACCCATATGTTGGGTCATTTGATAATATCCTATAAAGCCCAATACTGTTTTTAATTTTTTTCCTTTTCTTTTCTGACTGTAAAATTTCCAAAGATTTGTCCTCAAGCTCAGATATTCTTTCTTTTGCCTGACCAAGTCTGTTAAGGCTTTATGCCACATTTTATTTGATCAATTGATTTCTTTGTTTGTAATATTTCATTTTGTTTTCTATTTAAAATTTTAATTTCACAAAAAAATTTCATTCATGTAATATATGGATTTTGTTTAATTCATGGATTTGCTTCTGATTGCTTTTGAATAATCCCATGATTAATCTTTTGATTTTTTTTTTTTGGAATTTCATCAAACTTTTCATCTTCACATTCTAGTATTGAAGGGTTATTGTGTTCTTTTGGAAGCATCATGTTGTCTTCCCTATTCTTGTTTCTTAAATTTCTGTGTTTATTTTTAGGTTTTTGTGGAGATAATTTTTTTTTTCTTTTCTGATGCCTTTTATCTTCAGGTTGTGTTTCTGTGGCTTAGTGGCATGTCTGCTCTTTCATTGAATACCCAGAGGCATGTGCTTGGTATGGCCAATGATCTGTGGTCAGTGCTCCAGGGTGAGGGAAGTATCCAGGGTGACACCCAAGCTGGGCATTGTAGATCTCTTGTTTATCTGGTTTAACAGAGGTCTGTTGGCAAAGTCAAACCCTCACTTCCTCTCTTCCAAGGTGTTCAATGACTGGGAACTAGCTGACAGTGGTTGTAATATTCATCTGCAATGCCACAAGAACCACACAATAGATTTGTGCAGTCCTCAGTGTAAGCAGGTATCCTGCCAAAATGATCCACCATAGGCAATCGGGGAGCTCTGATCATGTGGAGCTGCCCAAAGCAAATGTCCAGAGACCCAGGCACATCCTGTGTCCTCCCACACAGCCACAATGCTCCTACAGTCATGGGATGCTGAGGATCCACTCCACCCCCACTAGTTTGTCCCATCCACAGAGGCAGAAACACTCCCAGAGCCAGCTACCTGTGAATGAGCTGCCTAGGCAGTTTAAAGCCCAGAGTCTGTGATATGTTGGGAGGCAGGGGGCACCTCACAGTCCTACAGGGGTGCCCAGTCCCCTCTCAGTCCTCCTGCCCAGACAGGCTTCTCCTCTAAGCTGGTTGCTAGGCCTGCAGACCCAAGCTGGTGCAACTGTTATGTGTGTTCAAAATGGCCAGTGGGATGGGCTGCTGCAGTCTGGTGTCACCTCACTCTCCAAATCTGGCCCTGACGCTCTTGGTCCTGTGTTGTGTCTGTGCTCATGCTGCATGCCCATACCCTCCACACAGGTCCACAGCATCCCTCTTCTTTCTGTGGAATTTTTACCCTAACTCTTCCCTGAGATACACTCTTTCCACTCTTTTAAAACTATCATCCCCTAGCCTACAGTAGTAAGCTCCCTCCCTATTCTGCCATCTTGGAATCATCCTCATCTGTATATACTCTTTTGAAGCTGGCTCTTTTACTCAGTACCTTATTTCGGGGTTTCTTTTGGTATTTCATATAATAGTTGTTTTTCTGAATTTCAGGCTATTATAAATAATATTGTTAAAAATATTCTTATTTGAATATCTTTGCATTATAAATATAAAAGCATAATTCTCTTCATTGTATACCCAGCAATAGAATTGTTAATAGGCAAATTTGTAATTATACTGGATATTTCTAAAAACTTTTCCAAAGTTGCATCAATTTTTGCTCCCTTTAGCTGAGAATAAGAGTGCTAGTTCCTCACATCTTCATCTACTATTGTTCTTAAATTTTCTGTTGGGTTATGGAATTATTTAATATTTTTGAGTTGATTTTTCATGTGCTTATTGACCTATTTGCTTATTCTTTCCCCAAACCACAAAATTTGCAGTACTTTAGCCATACAGAAATTTTTAATTATCAAGTAATTTAAGTCTACTAACATTGTTCACCTTCATCAAGACAGCGTTGGATCACTTTAGCTCTTCTTGGTCAAGTGCCCTGCCATATATATTTTAGAAGCAGCTTGTTAATGTACACACACACACACACACACACACACAACTACTATGGTATTTATTGTGACTAGATTTCCTATATAAATTTGGATGCATTTGATATGTGTACTACTAAATTTTTAAAAATGGAATTTCTAATCACCTCTACATGTTGTCTAAATGTGCCCAATTCTCCGAACCACACAGAAATGAAATCATAAATGTAATGTTGTATAACCTCTACCTGCAATATTGTATAGAATTGAAAATTGAACCTAACTGTATATTAGGGTTGTAAAGATTTGATTCATGCTTCAATTACTAGGTTCAAAAAAAGAAAGGTTGTACAGATGCTTAAAACTTTAAATACTTGCATAGTAATAATATACTCCAGATTGTTTTTGCTTTTTCTCCTTCCCTTGGTTCTCCTTTTCTTTCCATCTGTTCTTCCTCTTATGCTTTCTTCACTGTAAAAAAGAATAAGGAACTAGAAATCAGATAGTCCACATTGTAATCATGACAATATCTTTAAAGCACAAGAGCAATTCATTGACCACGTAGCTCAACTGCCTGATTCAAATGCTTGCTCTAACACTGACAGCTAAGGAAATTTTACAAGGTATTTATTCTATTATATTCTCTACTTCCTTTATCAATAATAGAAGTAACAATGGTAGCAAAAATTGTTCTGGGGGTCAAATGAGTCATACATATAAACTGCTTGAAGAATGCCTGCCAAATAATAAGCATTATTAAGATTTTTTATTATTATGCTGACACATTTTTGGAATGCTGATTTTAAAAGTGAATTAGTCTATGAATATATGTCAATGTGATTGAATAAAGAAATGTGATGCAATAGTAAAACTTAGCCTTCATTCTATTTTCCAGAAGAATTACTAGTCAAAATTATCTTTTGTACATTCGTCTTTATCCAGTATTAGAACAATTTTGAAAACTATCAATAATTTCACTACATATACATGATACTTTTTATATTATCTTCTCTCTTTCTAAGACTACTTTCTTAACAAAATCCAAATTTGAATAGCTTTGGCTCTTGAGTTATAGGCCAATGTTCTTGAGAAATAAAGGGATATTGGTTCAATTACTTCTATCACTAACTGTAATATGAACTTATAATAAGTTCAGTGGAGGATAAGAAACAATTTCAGCCATCTGATGAAATTTGAAAGTCATAAATTTTAAGTCAAAATGAAAGATATATTTGAGTGACAAGGAATGAAATTTACATCTTAAAAGCCTGATATGAAAACTCTAGACATAATATCAAACCTTCTATATCTTTAATCTAGTTTTAATGAAACCTTTAGGATAGCAATTTCTCAGATGTTCTAATATAAATAAAGTATTAAACACCATGTCCATTAGCAAATGCTTTATACTCAGTAATGTGTATATATAATTGGTCACTGTTAAAATAAAATTTAAAAATATTACCCTTATAAAATTTAAGATAATGTATATATTAATTTACATATGTTTGCTAATAAATTTCTTAAAATATTCTTTAAGAAGGAGCACTCAAATATGTTACAGTTTGGGTATGGTGATTGTTTAATGAATAATTATCCAGAATTTATTCTAAAGATAATAGAAATTTGAGCAGCAAAGTCTAAAATTATTCTACTCAATAGAAACAAAATGGAAGTCAAATATAATTGCAATATTGTGTCATAGAAACAAAAATAGAAAATATAAATGTATGGAAGTAATATTAATTATATATTTAACCAGTAATATTCAAAGTATCATTTCAACATGCATTCGATATAAGAAACTGCTAATGAAATATTTTACATTCTTTTGGGCTTTTGTTTTGTCCTAGGGTTTTGAAATCTAGTATACCTTAATTATAGTATACCTTAATTTGGAGTGAATTCATTTAAATGCTCAATAGCCATATGTGACTAGTGGTTTATACATTGGACAGTGCAGGTCTAGACAGTATGAGAAGACATGTGAGGTAAATGCAAATAATGGTTGCTATGTTTTCATCTCTGACAATAAATAGTCCAGATTTTGTCATCTGATTATTGACTGAGATTTTTCTAGCTCTGAATGACAACGTAACATATATTCTCATATGCAGATGTTTTTTGTTTCGATTCACTGGGATGAGACGTTGTACATTAGAATGAGCCATATGGAAATATTCCAACAAGCTAGGACACTGAGTTCTTAAATTCCACTGAACTTTCTTTGGCAGCAAAAGCAGCCGAACATCTGCTCCACATGGAGTCTAACCTCTGCTTCTTAATGGCCTAATGGCCTCTCCAATAAGAGGCATATTATAAAACTTGCTAATCATCCTCAGGATCTGTACCCACCACATTTTCCTTCTTCTTGATCTATAACTAGAGTCAATTTCAAGCAGGCACCAAAGATTGAAGACAAAAGGTGACCCTTGTCTACATGTGATGTATAACAAAATAATCACCAATTGTTAATGCAGAAACCTAGGCATCTTAAGGACATGTGATCAGAGTGTAATCAATATAAATTGAGTCACAATTATTTTTTTAAACTTTTATTTAGTAAATATAATTTTCCAAAGTACAGTTTATGGATTACAATGGCTCCCCCCCCCCCATAACTTCCCTCCCACCCGCACCCCTCCCATCTCCCGCTCCATCTCCCATTCCATTCACATCAAGATTCATTTTCAATTATCTTTATATACAGAAGATTGATTTAGTATATATTAAGTAAAGATTTCATCAGTTTGCACCCATACAGAACAAAGGGAAAATACTGTTTGAGTACTAGTTATAGCATTAATTCACAATGGACAACACATTAAAGACAGAGACACAATTATTGACATAGATCATAAACACAGATTCTGGATTCAGTGACTAGACTTGAGGCAGGTAATGGTGCTAACAGATTGTTTGCATGGTTGACTGAGTTATTTTTCCAAAAATGACTTGCAAAAAATTAAAATCATAATGTCAGAAGGGAGGTATCCAAAGGCTTAGGGAAATTGAAATAGTACAGTGAATTTACTCTGTAAAACCTGCTCATCTCACCCACCTGGTATGTCTGCTTAGGGATGTGCGGAGGGCATTCACCTTACCAAGTCTGGGAGAAAGACATGAGGGAAGCCATCACACCACTGACTAGCTCAGTGGAAGTTCTTCTGAGTAGGTCCAGAATTACAGTAGTGTCTGCCATATACTGGGAACCTAAAACTCGGTGGAGATAGTGGAATTATGGAACATCAGCGGCCATGTAGCAATAATCAATAATCAAGTAAAAGGTGTGCTTAGTGAGCACAGTGGACAGTGACTTTGAGAAATGGATTATACACGTAGACAATGGTCAGACCATATAAGAAGACAGAAATCTGACCCACAGCTGGCTACCAGCCCAGGAAACCTACCCCTTAGTTACAATAAGCAGTCCAGGAGGACAAGCTGCAGTGAGCCAGACTTGAGGAAGATAAACTGTTATCTATACTAACAAACCAGGCAGCTCAACCTCAACTTCTCTAACAATCAACCCAATCTGTTCAGGACTTGACTAGTAACTGATGGATTCTCTAGTTTTTGTCTCAGCTTCTAAACTTGGAGCATCCAGAGAAAGCTAAATGAGCACTACTGACCAATTTTACAAGATGCCCGGCTTCTAGTTAGCTCCCCTACTGCACTCCAGTGCCAACAGTGTTCAAACAGAGCGTATCTAAGATTTCTCCCTTTCCACTACAAAAAGCTCTCCTACTCTTCTGCTTGCCCTTGATTCTCTGCCAAAACATAAATGATGGTGAGTGGTTCTCTTGCTACAGTGAGTTCTGAGTAAACAGACTTTTATCATTTGTTTGGTCTTCTTTTATTTCCACAAAGCATAGTGTTGTTTAGAATAATTTGATTCTCAGAGACTTTTGGCTTTGGCTGATTGATCATGGTATCCCCAGAACTACACTAGTTGGGTAGCATATGCGAGCCAGCTCGATGTGTTTCAGCAGACAAGCCTCAGACTAATGAATAAAATTCTGATTTGAATTGCCAAAACAGTTACTCATCGCTCCAATCAATTCTCATACTTAAACCAGTTCAGAAATTCCGAAGAGGAATCCCTGATCCTTTACAAAACAGCAATGCAATTCTGACAAATATTTGTCGTTAAACTTCCTCCAGCCTTCATTCAAGGGTCAGGTGGTCCTTTATTTGTGATTCTTTTTATTGAAATAAATGAAATACATATTTTAATTTGGTAAGCAATTTTATGTTTGACTATGGTAAAGTAATTTTTCTTGTTTTGTATATTCAAAAATGATTCAATCTTTAAGATCCAGGAGAATTATTTTTAGGCTTTCTCACTTCTGGATATAAAACAGGAAACAAATAAGTAGCACTAAAATGTGAATTATATTTCAGTTCACAATGTAAAATATTTCATCTGAATTTTAGTCAGTAAATGGATATCTTTGGTTAATTTTTTATGTTGTGTACTATTATAACCAAGAATTAAATAGTTATCTTAAATGAATAAATTTGTAGCATTTTTATTATCTTACTATCTCACATCACTAGAATTTATTTTATTACAACATTGGCTTGATATAACAATCATTCAAGTTGAAATGAAAGAGGAGCTGTTTTCCTAGGAACACTATCACTTCTGTATTTTCTGCAGCTCAGTATTTGTCAAATTTCATTCAATACCATTAAGTCTTTTCTTGCTTTCCTGAGCCATATAACTTGAATGGCCTCTCTTCATTAAATTGAATAAGAGTGCAGATTTTCAATCCCATGGAGAGATTCAAAGCTATCTATATTTGCTACCTTTTTTATTATTATTTCCTCAGGGTCTCATTTGGCACAATCTGGTAAATCTCAAAGGCCAAAAGTGATCACTTCAGATACTTTCTGATTCTAAGATAAAAGCATACTTGAAAGGGTCATGTAAGAGAAAAAAAGGCCAAGTCTGGGAAGGTTAGAGGAGTTTTCATAAACTCACTTTTTCAGTATCAACATCAAAACTGCGTTTCATTTTTGTTTTTCTTCCTTAGTAGAGAATCTAATTTACTAAAAAAGTTTCTACATACCCAACTCTCATTTTTCTTTTGGATTAGTTTCTGAAATTCTTCCATCCATTTCTATGAATCAAATCTTGTCTTCTCTTAGGAATCCTCTCACAGTTCTTCTCTTTATGTGTAGCCTGGCTCTTTCTTACCCTCTTCTGATTGTTTTCTTTCCTTGTCGCTATCATCTTCTCTTTTCACTGCTCCTGTTAAGTTTAAAAAAATCAGAAAGCTATTGATGTCACTATCTTTCTCCTGTCACTTTCATCAGAAAAAATGGAGTTCCAATGTGCAGCATCCAGTTGCTTAGCAACACTATTTCCAACATCGCTGCCAGGATGAAGAGTGTGAAACTGGGTCTGCTAATGTGACTGCATGAGAAAAAAGAGCATGGTTTGAGTGGAACTAGGAAAAATAAGCCCTGAAAAATTCAACAAAACTTGGATATAATGAATGCAGCCAATGATGAACATTTTCGACTGAGAGTTTTCTCTTTATCACATGACACGTCACTTACAGGAAAGTTCAATATCTAAAGCAACACTTTAAGAGTTATGCAGTGACAAATGCTGACCTGCTTGTGTTCCTCAAGTTACTACATGGCTCAGTTGCTGTATTTTTATATATGTATATATGAAAATACATATATATAATATATATGAAAAATATGTCTGTTTATACCCACAAAGATGTACTTTATGAATGTCTTTAGTACAAAATAAAGTAAAAAATGTTTAATGATTATGTCTTTCCAAAGTTTATTATCGTTATTTATATTAATTAAGAACTCCTGGTTTTGCTATGTTTTTAATGCATTCTTTTGATTTTCATAGCTTGATTTTAATTCTGATACCTCTTTACCTGAAATACTGGCATGCTTTCCCCATGTTTGGTATCTTTATAGTTGTATTATTTTCAACAACAATGTTCAAAATTTGTATTTATATGTTTGAGAGGCTGAGCTCTCTTCTAGTTCATTCCCCAATGCCCCCAGTAGCCGGGGGCGGACCAGTCCAAAGTAAGCAGCCAAGAACTGAATTCAGGTCTCCTTTATGGGTGTCAGGAAACCCAATTATTTAGTCATTACAGCTTCCAAAGTTTGCATTAGCAGGAAGCTGGAGTCAGGTGCCAGAGCTGGGTGTAGAAACCCAGAACACACACGTGGTATATAAGTGTCTTAATTGATGAAACGATGCTTTAACTACTAGGCTAAAACGTGTGTTCATCCAAAAAACAAAGCAAACCCAACCAAAACCCAAATCCTTATCTGTTTTACATTTATGTTTTTCATTATTATGTGTTTGGAATTGATGCATGATTGAAAGGGTATCAACTGAGATCATAATCAAAGTAATAAAATCTGTATGTATTCTTTGAATAACAAGGCAAATATTTAAACATCTTATTTTGCCACTTAAAATATTCTTTATGCTTAGTAATTTAAGATTCTGCCTTTTTCATAGTTATATATAATCTTGAAGAAAACTACTTGTAAATTTATTTCACAACCTTTGAGAAAAGATATAGAACTTGAAAATGTTTTTTTTTTCCCTTAAGGGTAAAAGTGATATGAAGAGAGGACTTCTGGGGAATAAGGTATGACTCTTGACTAAAAATAACTTCTCTGATATTTACTATTTATAAGTAATTAAGATTAACTCTCAGTTGTCTTTGCTTGAAAATTTATTTAGAGTATGGCAGAGTGGTGGTACTTCAAGTAGAACAAGTGTCTAGGAAGCAAACAATTGTCAGTCAGTGGAGGATTCCATAACACGGTCTTTGACAGTTTTATAAAAGTTACATCATGAGCAGATGGTCATTCCTACTGGCGGGGGGAGAATAATAAAAAGTGTTTTCCCATGCTACCTGCCCTGTCCTCATGCTCACAGAGTATTTTCTATGGCTTTTACCCCTGTGAGTGTGATCTCTGTGTAACACAGTTTGTGTTTCAATGGGAATCTTAAAAATACAAGTTAAATTTTCAGAAAGGATTTTCCTGTACTTGGGAAGCATTTTGTATCAAAACTGGAGAGCCAGTTCCCACAAACATGAGTCAACCATGATTTAGTGAGAACTTTTGTTTTGATGAATGTTCAAAAGAAGCACACTGTTGAAGATGACTAGGGTATGTCACCTCGGCTTTGCAGAAGAGGAATTTTATAATAAGATGTCTTCATGTATTTGGTCTTTTTCCCTGTACCTGATAGAATTTCTAAAATATTTAGGAATTTCCTAGGTTAATAAAAGTGTTTTTTTTTTTATTTTAATAAAATAGCCTTAGGATTAGGCTAGTCACAAGAAAGGCTGAGACCTGATTAGAGGGCTGGAATGTTTTTCCTCACCCCTACCTCTAAGAAGCGGAAGACTGAGTTAATCACCAATTGCATGAAACTGCCATTAAAATACCCAAGGATAGATCCAGAAAACTTCTGGATTGATGAATACCTGGAGATGCTGGGAGGGTCACGTACCCCAAGGGGACATGCACCCCCACATACATCCTTTTCCTTGCTGTGTACATTTTTTCCATCTGGCTGCTTTTCAGTTGTATCGTTATAATGAACTGCTAACATTAAGTGCAGTGTCTTCCTGGGTTCTGTGGTTCATCCTAGCAGATTATCATGCCCTAGAAGCAGGTCAAAAGAACCCTCACTTTATGGTTGATCAGTAAGAGAAGTATACAGTCCCAGGACTGGAGATTCATGTCTTTAGAGGAAGCAGTGTTATGGGACTGAGCATGTGACCTGTGTGGTCTGCACTAACTACAGATAATTAGTGTCATAATGAACCGAATTGTACAACACCTAGTTGTCCAGAGAGTTGGCAAATGGGTTGACATGGCAAAAAATCTGCGCCTGTGCTGACAAAACTGTTGTGATTAAAACACCTTTATGATTAACACTATAATATCTATGACTCTGGAGCCAGATCTCCTGGGCTAATATCCTAACCACATCACTTTCAAGTTCTGCATTTTTCAACACTTTGCTTTGTTTGGTGACTTAATCTTGTATTGTTTAAATTAGGGCAGTAATATGTCTCCTTCATAGGATTATTATGAAACATAATAATGAAAAATGATAAGAGTTATATCTTCTATTTTGTAAATCATAATCAATGTTATACACTATTATGATAACAAATTGATACCATGCTTCTAAGGACATTCATCTAAGCCATCACATTAGAAGCCTTTCAATTTCCTAACTGTCGAAAGAAAACTCTCTGTTGTTTCAGTATGCCTTGTATCAATTTTTGTTCTGGAATATGTTTTTAAGGATATTTATATAGCAAAAATCCATGGGAGCTAGAAACAATCCCTTTCTTAGGAACATTTTTTTTCCTGGCTAATATGTCTCCCTCTTATCAAAATATGGGCATTTTCTGGTAGTTCCCTTAAAAGATTGGGGTTTCCTAAACTCCAGATTCTTCGGCTATGACACATATCTGCAATAAGTGCCATGCACGTGGATCACATAAAGATACAGAAATCATCCTGCTTGTGGCAGGATCCAGAAATCTTGTGTACCCTTCCAGCATACATTTTCTGTAAATATATCAGATATGTTACAGTTCTTGACACTCACTCCTATGGGTTTGGCAGAAGTGAGGGAGGGTCTTTTGTCCATAGAGTGTATGACAAACAGTAACTGGAGTAGAATGTATTCGTATTCAGCAGTCACTTCCTCTGCACTGTCCATGGCAGGAGTGTACTTTCCCCTAAAATGACTTAGTTTTTGTTTGCCATGTGACTGGCTTTTTGTGAGTTGTGTGAACAGATGCTTTCAGGATGCTTGTATGAGTTGGTTTGATCTCTACAATGTCATTTTCCACCATGGAAAGGGCATGCCCAGTTCACTCTTGGACCCATAATGTGGCATGAAGTTAATGTGAACTCAAACTTTGCCCTAGAGTGAAGTGCAGCTGCTCTCAGCAACATCACCTGAAGTCATTCAAGCACCGCTGAAGAGCTGGCAAACACACCTGCAGGAGGAAAATGTTTGTTGTCGAAGCCACTAAGATGTATGCTCACACTGAAAAGTGTCTGATAAGCCTGAAGCAGTGGATATTGATTCCAGGAATCACTAGATCACTCTGATATTTCAAATATATTGTCACCTAACTACAATTATTTTTATCTGTAAGATCAAAACTCCCTCTATGCAGAAAAAGAGTAATTGGAATATGATATTTATTTGCTAAAATTATCAGAATAAGGACCTTAGCACCATTTTAGTTTGTTCAAATATGCAAATTACTACCTATTTTTACTGTGTGAATGAGACGACAAGAGGATTTCAGGATTGTTTATATCACTTTCCACATCTCCTTTCACCAGTTCAGAACTCAAATTTAGAATCTTAAAATTAATTTCCACCAGTATCTTTTTTTTTACATTTATTTAATGAATATAAATTTCCAAAGTACAGCTTATGGATTACAATGCCTTCCCCCCCATAACTTCCCTCCCATCCGCAACCCTTCCCTTTCCCTCTCCCTCTCCCCTTCCGTTCACATCAAGATTCATTTTCAATTCTCTTTATATACAGAAGATCAGTTTAGCGTATATTAAATAAAGGTTTCAACAGTTTGCACCCACATAGAAACACAAAGTGAAAAATACTGTTTGAGTACTAGTTATAGCCCATGAGAGAGTATTTCAGGCATGGAAAGCCAAGACACTCTGGCAAAAAAAAAAAAAAAAAAAAATCTAAATGAAAGATCGCTGCGAGTGAGATCCCAGTGAAAGAACAGGTCATCAAAGAAGGAGGTACCTTTCTCTGAAGGGAGGAGAGAACTTCCACTTTGACTATGACCTTGTCTAAATAGATCAGAGTCAGCAAACTCAAAAGGCTTCCATAGCCTTGGCAACTCATGACAAGAGCCTAGGGTGATTACTGATGCCATAAACAAGAGTGTCAATTTGTTAAGTCAACAACAGGAGTCACTGTGCGCTTACTCCTCATGTAGGATCTCTGTCCTTAATGTGCTGTACACTGTGATTTAATGCTATAACTAGTACTCAAACAGTATCTTTTAAAATATACATATTGTATTTATATAATTAGCATATTTCTTCAGAAAGCAGTTGTTTTTATTAGAAAACAGTAATATTGCATGCAAACAAAATTTTACCAACATTTTCTAGAAATACATACATATATATATATTTTATGCATAAAACACAAACATAGAAACCTCTATATTTCTAACTAATAATTGTTGGAAATAATGACTAACATTCACAACATTTTTGGCCAGATATTATAGAAATGTCTGAATCAGAACCCTGATGAGCAATTCTTCTTAGGACTATGGAGGTGTTATGGAGACTGAATGCTTGCTCTCTTCATGTATTGAAAAGCTAACTCACAATGTAATGGCCATAGAGACGAGGCCTTTGGGAGGTTATTAGTTCGTAAGAGTAGAGATCTCATGAAGAGGATTAGTGCCCTTATAAAAGACTCCAGAGAGAATTCTAGCTCTCTTTCTATTCCATGAAGATATGCAAGTGGCCTCCATAAGAACTTGACCATGCTAGCACTTTGATCTCAGACTTCCAGCCTCCAAAATTGTGGGAAATAACTGTATTATTAATGAGCTGTCCCCTCTAAGGTCCTTCATCATAGCGAAGTAAGATGGGGCCATGAATTTTTTGCAAGGAAATGGTGAGAAATGCAACTGGATCTTTACCTCAGATCAGTGTACACAGCTTGACACCACTCCAAATTCCTCTTAAAATCCCAGCATTTATCAGATTATAAATTTACTGAGGAGCTTCGCTTATGCTTCTCTAAGAATACAGAAAATATTCTGTCACTTTTATCTTTCCTATGACAATAGCACTGATTTGTGCTGCTGTCTGAGGCTACAAGAAACAAAGTACACGTGAGCTCCTAGAGCACAGACTACGACTCTCTCCATGGTCTCAGTGGTGCAAAGATGAGGCAACCCCTCTGTGCCAATCTGCAAGGCCCTTCATGTGACCAACGTTGTTTTTGGTTTTATGGCAATTTAGAGGATTCTGAAGACCATTTTCCTCAAAAGTAGCTTTGACCTCTGGAAGCAATGTTATCCTGTAATCTATGATCACTGGAAAAATGATCCTTAAAGTTAAATTTAAAATCTTTTGTGTGCTATAGCCAGATTGTGATTTTCATCTTGCATTTCCAATGTACTGTCTGTGGATCAGTAGCATGAGCAACACCCCAGAAATAAACAGTATCAGGCCCCACCCCAACTCTAGGGAATCAGAATCTGAATTTAGAGAAGAATTCTAAGTGATAGAATTACATTAAATTTAATGAATACTAGTTGAATAGACTTTTTTCCAGTGTCCTTGATCTGGGACTTTCCCACAACAAATGCTCATACTCTAAGTTGTAAGGTTCTCAGCATTATGCACTAGAGCTACAATGATAGAATTGTTTTTTGTTTTATTTGTGTTTGCTGTTATGGTTATTATTGGTGACATGCAGCTTATCATGTACTTGAAATATGGCCAATGTGTTGGAGGAATAGATTTTCAGTCTTATAATATTTAAACTAATGCATATTTAAGTTTAGACAGGCACATGTTGCAAGTGGCTACCATG